CAAGCTTGTTCGCCATACTGTTTTGCCTTTGATATTCATATGGGAATCTTCCGTGAATTAGAGAAGAGTGGACAGCCACCCTTCAGCTCGCTTTGTTAATAACACATCTAAGTGTTGTTAACAAAGCGAGCTGAAGATACCATCCAAAGAAGCGTTTTACGCAAAACAACGTGAGTTGGACATTATATGCATTTGTGTAGCTTTGTCCCCCTGAAACATAAACTCAACCTGGTCAGACGTTTTTCATACCGAGCGCGTGCGATTTGCAGTGAGGATACACTGCAATCCGAGGTATGTTTTATTCATGACGTTCTTCGATCAAATGGTTACCCAGAAGCTTTTCTTGATAAACATATATATGATTGAAGACCAACACGAGCAAAAGCCCGACCGTTCCTCGCAAGAACGTTTACCTTACTGTGCCGTTTAAGGGAGACAGTGACCTGGATCTTCTTGAAGGACGTTGGTAGAACGTACACTCACTACCAGTTGACCTTCGATGTCCCAGAAAATAAAAGATAAATTGCTTCATCAGTCCAAATCCTTCGTTTTATATCTTTTCACATACGCTTTTAGTATGCGATACATTGGACATACGATCAGGCGATTATCAAAACGTATTGCTCAGCACTGTCCTGCAGCCTTCTACAAAGAAACGGTTAGAATGTATTCGCAGCTCGGTTCTCGGTCATCTCGTCGATAGCGGACATGTTGTGATTAAGTTGGATGCATTCAAAATTAGTCGCACTATATCCCCGAGCTATTTCAAGGGAATAAGAAGGCGCCTTTCAACCACGGTCGATGCGATTGCAATTCACATGTTCAATCCAGAGTTATGCAAGCAACAGAACCTAGTTGAGACACGGTTGTTGCCCTGACCTGGATAAAGGATTGATTGTGCGTAAAACAGAGCATCAACCACCCACCCCCAATCGTCATCCAGCATCATCAACCACAATCTTAAGAAGTAACTATTTTATAATTTTGTCTCCAATGTTCCTTCCCGATTAAATCACTTGCTATGCATTACATATAGTTTCTACTGTATCTTACGTAACTTCATCCCGGTCTCTCGTCTTAGCTCACAACCTTCATTTTGATCTGTTCATCTCTCTAACGTTTTCCATTTGACCTTTGTCCTCTCACTTCTTCCACGACACTATAGCATTGACTACCCCTAGCCTTGCCATTTTCGTTTGCTCTGTTTACTTGCCTCTGTCATCATTAATAACTGAGCTTTTATCGACCAATCAGATACATGTTCTATGATCATTTTATATATGTAAAACGCCTGATGTGATACATCGAAAAGAAAAAACAACAAACAAACACCGTTTTCTATATTGTCCATGGGACTAGTTTATAACTTGGTAAATCTCGGATTTTGTTTTACACTAGGCCAAACAAAAAACGAAACGCTTTCGATTTGCTAGGAGTTTCGACTCAATCAGTGACGACGATTAAGAACTTATACTGGACAGTATAGATAGGTTCGTATCCACGTTCTCTTCGACCGAATACCATCCAACCGAAAGTATTCGATCTGTGACATCGGAAAGCTCGGTAGGACTGACCGACTGGACCAAACTAATAACAGAAACCTATTTGCATACCGCTGACCGCACACTGATCACGCGTTTTTGTAACTTCTTCACACCGTCAATTTGAATGCAACTGACCCAACCGGATGTTCGGTTACTGAGGCTACTAATTTCTGTCCATCAACCGTTGACAATTTTTGCAAGCCATAATTGTACGATTTTCTGATATGGCCCGCACTCTCTCCTCGGTCACACACAGTCTTGAATTGCGGAAGCATGTAAATCAAGCGAAACCAGAACGAGTATTTTTTCAATTCGGAACTGTAAAGATATCTCCCCGGGTGATCAATGAGGACGCGTACGTAGCTTTTATCGATACACATAGACGCTAAATCCTTAGTCGATAGACGAATTAACTGTTTGCCACATTGGATCGATACTATCAGGCACCTAATAGCTGTTCAGGCGGACGTCTAAATGCGATCGTGTATTTTCCCAGAATGGATACAAGCATGCTCGTAAACGAGATGAAATTCCAACTTTCTGTTCTGTATACTAAAATGTACTTATCTTCTAAGATACGTCTCCACGTAAAGTGCGTAAGCTAAATAGATTAACAACAGTCACCGCACGGAAGAAGTCTCTAAGTTGCATGCATAATCTATACCGGCACTCGGTATGTTCAGAACGGATCAAAACTGGGGGTAAAACTCAAAATAAATGGTAGTATTGTATTTCTATTGTACTTTTATCTCATAATCCATATGAAAAATTGATTCCAACTTTTGGACTTCAGTATTTTTTTCCAAGCTCTCTTGCTCAATATTGTAAACTAACTTGAAGAAAAACTCTTCATATACCATTCTTCATTTGCAATGATTGCGTTAGTTATACCAACGTGTAACGTTTCCAGAATATACATCACATCAAAACCAATGGTGCTTTAATAATTATAATCAGTATTATTACATCCACTAGGTTATTACGCTATTCCTGTTCACACCCAACCAACCACATCGAATTTATTCTGATTGTGTTGTATTCAAACATTCCATACCCTCGCATCTGGACAATCGTTCGAACTTTGCATGCGCATCAATCGACCATGGAACATGCTTGACGGAAAACGAGTCGATCGATAGCTGTTCGTTCTCCTATTTGAACGAGTATCACGAAACAGAATTTTGCCGGTTGTCTGTCTGTTTGTCTGCATAAAATCAGAACTTGTACTGTCCACATCGGTGAATGAGCATAAATCACTCCTATCAAAATCGATCCTCGTCTCGAACGCCCCCAAATTACGCTTCCGCAGTTCACAACGGCGAGATCATCACACGCATCCACCTCCCCTAAGGGTCTCAATACGCCACTGCATCAAATCAAGCGGTTTTTCGTACGTGCAATAATTTACGTCTAGGGTAGAGCACAAGATCAAGCTTTCAACGCTTACCCACTCTCAAACACCTTGATTGTTTATATCATTCTAGATGAAATAAACGATTTTTTCTGTTCATCAGTTCCGTAAAATACCGGAATTAAGGTGTAGTCACACAGGAAGCTCGGAAACAAAAATGAATCTATGGATGCTTCGTTTGGTGCACGCTATCATTTGGACATGCATTATGAACTGATCGATCGATTGATTGATTAGACCACGGTTAGTGCAACCAAAATCGATGGGCGTAGTAGGTGCAGTGTCACGCGTTCGTTGTGCGTTGCACGCATCCAGCAGCGACCGNATATTAGATTTATGCTGTCCGCACAGCCGAATCGTCTCGTCAAATCTTTCAAACCAGAAAACACAAAAAACAGTTGCCTGTGTAACTTGTGAGTGGTGAATGATGTCACACATCGTATTGAGTTAATCTAAATAGACCCTTATAAGCCAAATATGCACTCCTTCAAAGGTTCTTAAACTTACCCAATCCCCAAATGTGTGAGTGGGTGGAGTGGGATATAAAAGACCACAGTTTTGTAAATGAATGGAAAATAGTACGAGGTTCTTTTTTTAACATACTGGTTTCCAAGGCAACAAGATTTGTTCTGTTCTTTTCTACAAGACGAGTCACAGGATGGTGAACCATGAGAGAGAGAAAGAAATTGTTCGTACAATTGATGCTGTGGACAGCGAAGGGTGGGGACGGTCGGGAGTGAAAAAATAATAACAGAACGGAACACTTGTGAGCAGTGTTGGTGAATGAATAAAGTTGAATAGTAGTAGTGGTTGGAGTAGTAGTGGTAGTAGAAGTAGTAGCCATAGTAGTAATACAAGTAACTCATGTGCGTGTGTGTTCAAGTCTCTGTGTATATGCTTTGTTCACCTGACCGTATATCGTTCTCTTGGGTTTATATTCGCCCATTGGATCTTCGTGCGTTGCAATAAAAGACTGAACGACCGATCGACCGACTGGTCGATCGATCAACCAACCAAAAACCAACCATCCCGGGGTAAGTCCATTTTTATGACTATCAGTGCAAGGCAATATCCAACGGCACAACCACCAAAGGAAATGCACTCTTAGTTTATACAGATAAATGCCATTTACACATCTAAAGACAAGCCGTTTTGAATGTGTCTACGCCAAGGTGCTGGTGATTGGTTTCCCGCTTTTGAAGTCGGATACAGAGGTGGAAGACCTTGCGGATTAACCGCTGTTTCAGTGTCCATGGGTATGAACATTTCCTGCTCGAGATCAGTTGGGTCCAGCTCTACCGGCAAAACAAATATTTTCTGATTTGGGTATCTCACCTGCACGGGATAGGCAACTCGGCGATCCGGATTCGATGCCAGTGTGCCATCCAGTCGAGGGTTGTATCGCATTCGTGATAGCGCGAACTGACTGGACGTGCGCATTGGTGGATCCTGACCGAAATAGTCACGTGACATCATTCCAGCACGACGAAGGCTGGAATAGACCGCCGCATCTGAATCCATCTCGGTGAAATCTGTTTGACTGCCGATACTTCGTCTGGCCGGGCCGGCATGTCGGATTCGATCGATCGAGGCTCTGGATGCACGCAGTACCGCCCGGTGATGTTTTTCACGCAAACTGTGCGCACTTGTGGAACGCGGAGGCTTCGTGCGTAGACTGTTCCACGACGTCTGAGAGTCCATCATCACTTTCGGATAAATCGCACTTTTCTCCGGCGGTGGAAAACTCGACTGTCGATTGTAAAATCCACTGTTCGACGAACTGGAACTTAAATTATCCGGTGATGATGGTGGCTGGGAAAAACATGGTGCAGGAAACCATTTCGGCACGGGTTTACGACTGTTCCAGCGTTTTGTGCAAAAGTACACCACACAGACAATCACCACAATCACCAGAGTCAACACAGAACACCATATGCTCAACAGAATCAGTAATGATGGGGTTTTTTCCTCGGCCACAATAATGCGTGTATCACGAAAATCGGTCATGCTCACGTCATTCGTGCGGTTCTGATCCACAATGATAGTGACCGTTTGATCTTCGGTCCCAGTGTCGTCTTGTGGGCAGCCCAAACCGCGAGCCACTTTTGGACAGGTTTGCGGGAACAGCATACTGAATTGTGGTTGATGATAGAGTGACGACTGTTTGATCTTTTTCTGCTGCGAATCACGTGAGTCGGTGAATACCACAATAATCATATCTGTGTCCGATGCAGTGCTATTCCCTGTCACACACTGATGACATTCCGTTTCCAAATTGAAACTAATGGGCACACTGTTATCGGCCGGACGTAGCCTTAAAAACATGGGCTTGTCCGGTTGTGTCGATTTGCTCCAGTCGTCGGATTCCGTGTTCGACGTGTCCGTGAGTGGTACCGGTGTGAGACCGCTGTCAATTTCCAATGCACGCAAATGCCTGAGTTCGAGGAAACTGTCCGGATGCATAAATACAGTGTTCAACAGGCGTACCTCGGTCACTAATGTTTGCAGACCGACAAAAGCCCCCGGATCCAGTTGGACCATATTTAAATTCAAATGGATCAATAACTGTCCCGCTAGACTGGACCAATCATCATCCGGATCAATTAGGTTCTCCAACGCACCGGATGTGATTGCACGAGCGGATTCTTTTTGACCAAGAACGATTTCGCTTCGACTTCGAAATTGTTGACAAGTGATCGGTTTTTCTGGTGGTTCAGTCAGGATGGAAGAATGGTCAGAGGAACGTTTGGCGCATTGGAGCATTTCGTGTGCTGGAGGTTCAAGGTAACAGACAGTGTCGCATGATGAGACTGTGGGAAGATATGGTTTGGGTTGGGTCGTATTCACAGATGGCACAGATGAGGGTTCGTCGGACATATCCTGCATCGTATTGTCTTCCGGTTGGGGTTTTGTATCCAACCGTTTCGGCAGATATTCATCCGGAAACGTCTGGGTCAATGGGGTCATATGCAAAAGGAGGAGGAATGTACAACACGAATGAAGGAATGGGCACATAGCCATTGGCACGAGTTCTGATCAAGCACGGGCATGCCCCACTACTTGGTGGAATGGGCAAAACTCATTCATAACTCGTTTGGTTCCACCGTACGTGCCGGAAATTCGCGGCACATTTAACACTCATGTGAACCTAGTCTGTCCCATAGCGGATCAGGATCGTGGGTGGCAATTGGCTGTTATCGTCATTAGCCAATCAGCAGCCGTGTCCTAGCTCAGCCAATCGTGCAGGTTATGAACACGTGGGTGGGTCGAGAGCGTCCTGTGCGTGTGTTTCTGTGTACGCCGATGTATTTCCATTGTTCTGCTTGTGCATGTATGTTTACGCGCTTGCATGCGTGCGTGCGTGCGTATACACGTGCGATCGGATATGTGAGCGCGCGTGCGCAAGCGTTCATAGGTAAACAAAAGTCTCATTCACGTTTGCGCGCACCGTTCGAAAAGGGCAGGCTAAGGAACGTGCGATCAGAAAGTGCGCGGATCTGACTTGAAGGAGAAGAGATAGAATTCGAATAAATGATGCGAATTCGGTCGGATTTCTTACGAGAGAGCCTCATAGCCTCATCGATGTACGACTGATATTAACCTGTCGCCATAAGCATGGTGTGGAAATGGAGCGCAGATATCTATGGCATCTTGAAATTGTGTTGACTGACTATAGTGAGACGTTGAAGAGAGAGAGCACAACAAAGCTAGATTCAGAACACTAATTGGCAAACCAGCTTGTTTTCAGTGTGTCCTAATCATGCCATTACAACACAATAAATATGAATAGAANAAGATTTACAAGGAGCTTGAGTGCTTGCACAAATTGTTTCTGAGCACACAGAGGGGGGTTGTGAAGACGGATGGAAACTGCCTCCGCTGTGGCTAGATTGCGAAACCGCAGGTGTCTAGACCGTCCCGTCTTAACTTTATATACAGGGGTCGGAACGCTTCTGTCACGTTTACAGTGTAATGGTGTCAGTAAGGTGCGACACGACGGCACTTGTGATTGACTTATTTGTTCCACTTCTCAATCACGGAGGGTGATGCTCACGGATGCGCTCGGACAGACGCCTGATCGTGCGGCCAACATACTTTGCTCCACAAGAACAAGTGAAAGAGTAAATACAGAAAGAGACGGCAGAATCGGGCACTCTATCCTTCAACCGTAAATACACCAGCGGGCTAGATGTGAATCGAGTTTGACGATTAGAACGTTTTGTGAATGGCATTTGATAACTTTCAATACACAATCTCTGCCAAGGTATCACCTTTAAACGGTAAAGAAATGTACACAGACTTCTTCTCAGCAATTACCCTCTTGGGAAATGCCTCTTGCCTTTGCATCACAGATTCCACCAAACGTTCCGGATGTCCATTCTGGATGAAGATATTCCTCACATTTTGGAGTTCTTCAACCAGCATGTCCTTCGTGCAAATTTTTCTAGCTCTATTGACCAAACAAAGTATGAGATTCTTCTTCATACTGAGTGGTACAAAGCTACGGAAATGAACGTACTGCTCATTCCAAGTCGCCTTCGTGTGTACTGACCGCCTGATGGATCCGTCATCACAGCGACAAAGGTAGACATCCAAATATGCTAGTTTTTTATTTGCTTCTTTTTCAATCGTGAACTTCAAATTGCAATGCGCATTATTGAAATGATCTAGTATATGGTGGGGCTCCGTTGTAGAATCGACCATGCACAAAATATCGTCTACGTAACGTTTGTACACTACACATTGTTTGATATGTGTTTTAAGTAGACCGTTTTCTATTTTATACATGAAAGCATCGGCACACAAGGGCCCTAGAGGGGACCCCATCGCTGTACCTTCCTTCTGGCGATAGATTTCCTCATTGAACGTAAATTGCACATTGCAAGAACAGAAGAATAGCAACTCTTTAAGGTCATCTGTCGGTAGGCCTACGTCAATTCCGTTACTTTCGATATAGGTGCATATATAATCGATTGTTTCACCGATCGGAACATTCGTGAACAGAGATGTGACATCTAGTGAAAACATATGGCGATCTTTAATGTTTAAACCACTCATGGGGTCAATGAGACCGGTTGTATCCTTGAGGCTGTGCTGGGCTAATGTCATCCTGAGGTAGATTGCATGAATTATGCCAAGTCAGATTTCATTGCATCTCAACTGGTACAATACAACAGAAAACTGCAGTTTATATCGTTGAACACCATGCCAGATTACACAAAATACGACAAGGACGAATCATCACACTGCCAAGACAGTGCCAGTGTGACTGACGGTTCTTTTCGCTCACACAGGCCGGGTTCCCGTTTCCTTGTGGCAACCGACTCCGCAAACTTAAGCAGCCGGGGGTTGGTGGTCCCATAAATGATCTTAAATCGGCTTGTCGGGTCCGGACCATGATTCTTCATCAACAAATGTCGAGCGATAGATGACGCAAGCTTTTTGTGTATTCGGTGTTTTCGAGTAAGGGTAGGGGTTGGTACCGGTGTAATGTTACTGAATGCGTTAGTGGTGGGTGATGTGTGTGTGTTGGTTAGAGGAGTCAAATTAAAGAATGACCTTTGATCATGTGATTCGATCAATCGGCGTCTAACTCAACATGAGATGTGCTCCTGGATTCGTGTATGCTACTGCCTATCTGTTCTGCCAATGTAAGGTGCTCTGAATCCACATTGTGATTAGGTCTGTCTACAGTTCAGTTAAAAAAATGGAACTGTTGCAGAAGAAAACAAAGAGAGGAATATATTTTAAAAACATGGATGAACATCATTTCTCCCCAAAAAATGTTTATCAATGCCTCGCTAGAAACTGTATCATTCTTTATGCGGTGACGATCCAAATGCCTCATCCATAACCTTACAAAAATGCAACATGTAATTCACAATATGGTGCCGGAAGATGTGAAACGCGAGCACGATAGAGAGCAGTGAAATAATTTTTAGGAAATTTGTAACGAAGGGCGGTGCGTATCAAAAATGATAAATTGACATGCTGATCGAATATGAAAGTGCAAGCATTTCGGTTTATGAATAGTTGACAGATGAAGGGGAGATCAGTTCATACTGCCTTTCATTGAGACAGCAAGGTACTCGATAAGGTTCACCCCAAGTGTGGGAATAGCATACATATATTGCGTTTCAGTGGGATAGGAGGAATGTGTAAGAGTGATAATGTACTCAATGAATAAAGCTAAAGACCTGATCGACTGAAAACTGTTTGTATCGATCCGGTTATCGGATAAAGACTAGAAATGAGATTGATTCAGGACAGACTCACATGGTGCGAATTCATCTGTGTATTTCATGTATTTAGCAGTTAAGGGCCCCGAGAGAGAGATTACTATTTTATGTGTTGGAAGAAATGGGAGAAAGAGACATCTTGCAATACACAAGAGTTATGCATTTACGAATGGGGCAGGGTCCCCCGTCAAACATATTATATTGAATTCTCTTAGGGAAACAACCTTCCGCTCTTGAAGGTAACGGCATTGATCAAACCTACGTTTTTTTTAATTTCGGAAGAATAAATCACAGAGAGACCAGGTCAAATAATCTAAAAATATACCACGAACGGACTTCACGGATTGCCGAAAACATTAAACGAATGACAGATGCCACCGCGTATAAGCTTAACCCTGTTTGATTGGCTGTTTGTATGTTTTTAAGCTCATGCGAGCGGATTGTAGGGCACAATCAAACAAGAATAGCGCGTTCAACAAGTTCTGATTATGATGTTGTTATTCCTGTGGAAGGAGCGCGATCACTCAGATACTTTGGTGGTGAAGCCACGGACGAAGGATGGAACTGATGTGGACAGCCTTACTAAAGAGAACTGCCTAGAATAGTCTGATAGGATGAACACGTCCCTGAGGATAAGCGGAGGAACCTACTGTTTCACTAAACGCTATCAAGCTTAGCAGATCGCATCGTTGTTTACCGATGAGACAATTCACCTGCTACACGAACAGTCCTTCTTGTTTCTCACTAGCCGTTCTGTATATCATAAAATAGACTGCTTTATTTCACACTTTGTTATGCTGTATAGTTTATGAACTACGAAGGAGTTTTTGCATCGTTTTAAAGATAGAAAACAGGTCTCACGGGAACTGAACTGGTTAAAAATGGTTTTAACTGTGTCCGCTTATAGATGCACTGAAGGTGAACAAGTATGGTGACGAAATCTACCCGGACAAAAATTCACACTAACCAATGGATTGTGAGAGGTGTAAATCGAAATAGAATCACCAGTTGAGCAAGATGGTCAATTGAGATAATGTACTGTATTGTAAAATGTATTAGCCGCATAGTAGTAGGCACATAGAACACGATAGTCAAATTATGTGATTTCCAAAGTGTAAGCACAGACCTTTCGAACTGAAATGTTTTATTGATTTTCTTTTGATATGTACGTTAGTTGCAATGAAGAAAGGTATTAACGAAGATCTGTAGTGTCCTTAAATGCGGTGAATCGTTACCGGAAAAAGAGGAAAATTGAAGAAGAGACCAAGCGATAATGCTGCTTAAATTCTAATGGGCTTCGAACAAACAAATGAAGTAAAAGGTGACAGAAAACCTAAGTTCGACCTCACCAAGGAAAAAAGGCTGTCAGACCAGATCAGTGCATTACTCATAAAACAAAGAAAGTTGGGTAAAACAATTGCACTTACATCGCTAGCGAATAACGAATGGATTCACACTCGATCGTCGGAAATAACCAATTAATTATGTGAATATCTAATGGGTAGCGTGAGGACTGAAAAGCAGAAACACATTGATCTTCAGGAGCACATGCGCATGAAACCGGAATTTTTCAATCGATGATTATACATAAGTGAGGTACGGGGGAAAGAGAAACACCATCTAACAACATTCTCCTCGGTGTGAATGTCGAATTGTTTGAATTCAAACAACTTTTCTTACCCCGTAATGGATAGAAATCACGAACTCGCAGTTACGCCACAAAACGGG